CGCTTACAGTTTTGTGAAATAGTTTTCAGCACAGAAACTGACTTCTTTAGACAAAGTTTTAACCAATGATGGTGTTTGCTTCTAGGATATACACTTTAAAAGAACTCACTGTCCCAAGGGTGGCCACTGAATGGCCTTTAGTAAATTGGAGCTGCTTAACCATATTGATGTCTGATTTCTTTTAACCACAATGAACTGCCCTTATTACCAACAGCAAAGCACTACAGGAGGCAACTGTGGCATTGCTTCCTTAACCAGCTCATGGTGTGTGAATGTTATAAAATTGTCACTCAGATATATTTTTTAAATGTAATGTTATATAAGATGATCATGTGATGTGTACAAACTATGGTGAAAAGTGCCAGTGGTAGTAACTGTGTAAAGTCTCTAATTCACAACATTAATTCCTTTAAAATACACAGCCTCTGCCTCTGTATTTGGAGTTGTCAGTGCAACTCATCAAAGAAAACTGCCTAATATAAAAATCATATATATGGTAATAATTTCCCTCTTTTGTAGTCTGCACAAGATCCATAAAAGATTGTATTTTTATTACTATTTAAACAAGTGATTAAATTTAGTCTGCGCAGTGAGCAAGAGTTCACATGCATTCTTTTATACTGCTGGATTTTGTTGTGCATCATTTAAAACATTTTGTATGTTTCTTTTTATCTGTGTATACAGTATGTTCTTGAATAATGTTCATTTGTCAGGAGAACTGTGAGAAATAAACTATGTGGATACTGTCTGTTTATATTATAGAATGCTTGTTGTGACTTCCTTTTGGTTAAATTTTGGACCTTTTTACTAGTGTTACAGCTTAAAATTGGTTTTTCTTTTTTCTTTTTTTTTCTCTTTAAGGGTATTTTACCTACCTGTCTGTCCTTTGGAAAGAGTAAGGACTATATTATGGGAAAAGGGTGAATTTGAGAAGCTTTGTAAAAGATTTTAATGTTTTCACTCAGTGTGGGCTGAAACAGTAAATCAGACTGGGTTACCAAAAAAAAAAAAAAAAAACATACATCATGGTTAAAGAAAAAGGTAATTATTTATGTTCAGATGTGAAAACAAAACCTAGGTTGAAATTTTTACTTTCATTCTTTTTGATGAAAATAAGTCCCCCATGAATTTAATTTAAACAGGCAGTATTTGAAAATCAGTGTATTCCCTGGAAATTATTAACTGTTGGAAAAGACAATACAAATTTTCTAAGATTAAGTATTATACTAATCCAGTCTTTAGCATCTTCTGTTTTTTCCAATTTTAAATCAAAGAAACATTTGTTTATTAGTCCTCGTCAATACATTGTAGAGTACTAAAACTTATACCCTGAATTTTATAATTGAGAGAGGTATTATCATTTTAAATATAGAAATATGAAAATTTTAAAGTAATATATTGATTAGAGATTAGTAGTGATAAATGATAAAATACATTGCGTACAAAAGAAAAGGAAATGGATTTGAGCTCATCCTGGAATAATTATTTGGGAGAAGAGGGAATCTTAGGGGGAGGATGGGAATCTTAGTATTCTGGGCAGTTTGATATTTAACGTGAAATATGCCAGATACGTGTCTTTTTAGTAAGACAGTACTTAAAGGGCAGCTTCTGTAAACTCCTGTGTTTGCATAGAATTAAAACTGATAGGTTCTAGAGAGCCATTCAGATCCATTCAAAAATCCTATAAAGTATGACGTATGCTTTGCAAAAGTGATACAATTGTTTATATAAACAGGATAGACAAAATTAATCCATTTTAAATGTATTTTTCAAGGGCAGAGATTTTGAGAATTTTGGGTGGCAAAAAGAATTATTTTCTGCTTGAGTGAAGAAGTGTTTGTTATGCGTTTTTTGGCTCCAAGCAGTTAGTTCTCATGACTTTAAATGCCTGGAAGAGTAGTAGTAGCGGAAATGTGTTATTTTAATTTGAGGACTGTAAGAATGGGCAGCACTTTCGTCATTTGCAAGTGAGCCTTCCATCCCCTACAAAGAAGTATTGACAATACAGTCCTGCTTGTTAAAGCATTGGTTACTAAGTGGTCTTCAATAGATCAGATGTATATCCTGAAATTCTGCGCTCAAGTTATTTGCTAAGGAAGTTTTAATAACACCTAAAACAACTGCTTTAAGATTTAGGCAGAGGAGGTTTTGATTGGTTGTGTAGTGTTACTAATAGCAAACAGTGATACAGTGTTTTACTGTGTATGAAGCAGGCATATCATAACAAATTGAATTCTCACCACTCTATGAGGTAGGTTCATTTATTAACCTGGTTTCATATGAGGAAATTAGCCAGAGAGGCTACATAATTTCCCCAAGCTCATGTAGTGAATTAAGTATTGATGCTTGGATTTTAAATTCACAGATGCTCCAGAGTAAGCCTCACTACCCTCTTTTCCCAAGCAAGAATATTCCCTTTGTGTCAGGCATCACCAGAGTGTTACAAGTAGAGGTACAGAGGTGCTCTGTGGTCTTTTTTTTCCCTTGGTGTGCTGTGGTTTCTCAAGTACAAACATACACATATGTGCGGGTCTGAGCACAGAATAGATGTCTTGAGCTAAAGTACTGAAATAGTCTGCCTACACTAAACTCGAAATCACACATATATATATTTAAATTTGTCAGCAAGTATGTGGTCACAAGACTTTAGACAAAGTTAGGACTAAGGCATGTGTCTCTTGCCTTTGATAGGTTTTATTTCAGTGCAGTTCGCTGCCTCTCAACCTGATGACATGCTATTTTTCTTCCCTTATCCCTTTCATTTAAATTGCAGAATACAACAATTTTCTGAGATATGAGGAACATTTTTTATTTTTTAGATGAAAAACTCCATCACACATAAGGATAAATATTGTATTTCTTTTTTAGTCTTAAGTATGGCATGCTATATCAACTGTATTTCTTACTGTGAATAACAAAGTTTGAAGGCCATTGTTCTAGGTGTGCTATATGGAATTAGAAGTCTCCAGATAACCAGTAAGTTTTCACACAAGATTATACAAGCATTGTCCTTTTAGGTGGTAAAGTATTGTTTTTATTTCTTACCTTGATGAAAAATGTACCTCTTGTTTTATCTGGTCCCAGGAAAAGTAAGCTTTTTTTTTTTTTAATAGTGTATATGGATGATGAACTGGGCTTTTGAGAGTGGTGTCATTTTTAGATCCCTGAGGATATAAACCATCCATGCCTGTCTGTATCCCTAGGGCCTGGCTCTTAGTCAATTCTCAATAAATAGTTCGTTGGTTGTATGACCATTGTTTTTGTGAGTTACATTTTTTCTCTAGGAAGTTAGGAGACAACACCTATGCCTGAGTGTGTCTGTAGCACCCTCAGAGGGCTTGTCTCAGGACATCTCCTTACTAGAACTCTGAAAGGACTGAAAAACAAATTGCATCCTATCTTACCTGGAGGATGTGGTTCAATTCCGGGTGGCTGAGAACATTTTGGTTCTCTCTGGTACCCCAATTAGGTCATTTATCTTGATTCTAAACCATATTTTAGAGTGATTATTATAAGAGGGCAGTAGAGTAGAAATTCTGAATCCTAGTCTAAATTGTGGAAGTGAAGCACTCAACAGATGTTGACCCAAAAAAAACCACCTTTTATGGAGCACTAGGAACTAGTAAGTGATTTACAGGTATTATTAACTTGTTTAATTTTCACAACACCTCTATGAGGCTGCTTACTATTATGTCTACTGTACAGATGAGAAAACTAAGGTTCAGAATTTAAGTGTTAGCAGTCAATAATAATTGCTATGTGTGGGATACTGGGAATACAAAGCCTTGCCTTTGTGAAGCTTATAGTCTAATGCATAAGGCCAGCAATAAACATGTTAAAAATTACTGTGATTTTTAGGCAGAGGTAAATGCTGTGAAGAAAAATGATGGAAGAATGGAGACCAATCTGCTGTTTTAGATAGAACACTCAAACAATGCTTCAGTGACAAGGGTATATTTGAACAGACCTGAATGATCTCTGAGGGAATTAGCTTTATGTGTAATCTGGAGAAAGAAACAGAAGGTTAGCAACAGCAAGGCCTTATCCTGTAAAAAGCTTGGCTTTTTCCAGGCAACTTTGTAGCTGGAGCCAAATTAACAAGAGGAGAGTAGTAATTTACAGGGTGAGAAAGGGGTGCAGATTAAGAGGATGCAGAGACCCTGACTGTTGTGTTGTGTTTTGTTTTTCAGTAGATCGGGGATGTAGACCAGAGGTGCGGGGTGGGGGGTGAGAAGATTCACCAGAGACACAGTGTGGAGCATAAAGGCGGATTTATTAAAATACACTGTTAAAGGGTGCAGTGGAGAGGCCTGCTATGCCATATGTGGAGTATCTCCCTCTCTAGGGATCGAACTCAGGCCGTAGTTGTGATAGTGTTGAGATTTAAGCCCTAGGCCACCAGGGATGCTCAAGACCCTGACTATTGTAAAGGACCTTGGGTTGTGTTCTGATTTGTTTTGCTGGGCAGAGACCTCTGAGGTACTTTCTTGCTTTAAATTTCTATGACTTCAAAGTAGTGATGTCATCTCAAGCCATTCAAATCAGTAACATGCTTTAGCAGTTCCATACAGCTAAGACTTGATTTAAACCTCCAGATACTCTTCAGGGGCAAAACCATTTATTCCTGCTCACTTTTTTTCAAGAGGGACTGTTGCCCACAGCCATCAAAACCATGGTGGGCTTGTCTGCTGCCCTGTAGCCTCATTTCCCTTAACCCAAGTTGTCAGAGCTGCAGTGGGCATCAACTGTGTTTGACAGAATGTGGTATGTGTTTAAAGAATGTTAATTCCTATGAAGTCATTTTGTGTTTTACAGCACAACAGATAATAGAACTCTTTTTTCTAATACTCCTATGCTCCCCTATAGAGGATATGACAATTTGGGATAGTTACAAAGTACTTGACAACTGTGTGAGTTGTAGGGATGTGCCCCTTTTTATTATTAAAGGAATAATTGTAACCAAAGAAATTTTAATTTTCTTCTTTAGCAAATACATTTGTGTCCAGAATGACTGCTAGAGAAAAAGGAAATATGAAAATTACCATGTATCATGATTACACTGAGAGTTCTCTTTGTAATAGTTCGAAGTTGATTTCTTGCCAAAATTAAAACCATATGAGCATATCATAAATCTCAACTATTACTGTGTTTGCTTCTCATTCTGTTTGGAATAAGGCTTCAAATGCTTTCCAGAATGATGTGAATTACAAATAAATAGAAAAACTTATCCTGTGTTCCATTTATTTTATTTGTACATATCCATTTCAAGAAAAAAAAAAAAAGACTTTAAAAATACAATTCTGTCCCAGAAATGGATCCTTGCCTGCACAACCATTTAAAAAAAAAATCATGCAAACTGAAACTGAATTTTGTAGTGACTGAATGGAAGATGCAATTAGTTCAGTAGAATATATAAGAAGCTCTGATCTGGCAACTGATAACACAAAAGAGAACCTAGACTTCACTGGTTTGATGCAAAGAGACACAATTTTACATACAGGTATGACGAGGTCTGCAAACCCCTGAAAAAGGCCCTTGTAAAACATACAACATCGGAATCTGTTACGCAGTATGTACTGATATGCCCCTCCCATCACATCAGTTTTATAACTTGACAACAATAGTGAGTAAACAGGTGATTTAATTGAAATTACGAATTGACATTTGTTCCTTGAGTGCAATAGCAAATCACCTCATGCTTTTCATTTACAGTTAGTTATTGGTATTAATTTATAATTGTGGAAATGCACCACTAGGTTTAGGAGACAGTAGGTCAATTTATCCAATTTATTCTCTTTGCCATATGACAATATTCATATTTTAGTTCCCTCAAAATGTTATTGATGTCTAGTTGGGTTTTTCTGTCTTGCAAAAGCTATGCAACCTCACATTAAATTTCTTAGCAAATTTGTTAAAATTTTATCGAATTTCTTACCAACAGCATTGTCAACCCAGTTTCTGGCTCTGAGTGACTAGTTGTTGGGTGTCAAGGTGACTACTAGCCACCAGAAGAAGATGCCTATGCCTACCCCTCCCACCCCCAAACACAAAACACACATTAAGGGCCTTCATCAGACAACAGCATATAAATCTTGGGGAGAGGAAGGAAGATATCATAGAGAGTTAGCATCGCTATCTAACTGATAAAAGAGTAGAACCATATAATCAGACTCTAGCAAGTCTTGAGGTCACAACCGACAGGACCGGCGATTCACACACTAGCTTAGCTCTGGCACAACCTACATTATATAGAAAAGTGTGCAGTGAGTGCAGGTAGCTCTGAATTATGAAGAAAAAGTTGGATAATACCAATACACCATGCATGATTTCCAGACCCCTCTCAGACAGGGCAAGCTAGGGAGCAAATAGCGATGTCAGGATTGGGGGGACACGAAGGATTAATTTGAAACATAACTGTTTAAGGGATGAACCTTTCAGTATTTTTCTGTCTCCACTCTCCTCTGCATTGTTGCCTTCAGAAAATAGAGTCAATAGCTGTGCAGAGTTGAAGAAAGACTTCCTCTGGTGTGCCTTCTGCGTTTATCTACATTTAAAAAGAAAAAAAAGTTAGTCTTAAAAATGTATATAGAGGCCATTTTATTTTTTTTTTAATAGAGGCATGTTTTATTTATTTGTTTGTTTGTTTATACAAGCACTGGGTACAGTCAGAAGCGCGGGAGGGTGAGAGAATTCACCAGAGCCAGAGCGGGGAGCAGAGCAGGCAGAAGGACCGAAGTACACTGCTGAGGGGAGCAGCAGGCGGCGAGTGAGGTCTGCGAGCCATGTGGGACCTTCCTCCGGTGGCTGGGGAGCAGCCGGGGATTGAACGGGCGCCGGGAGCAGCCGGGGATTGAAAGGGCGCCGCAGAGGCCGCGGGCAGCTTCGCAACCCAGCGCTCAACCGCTGCGCCACCGGGGAGGCCCATATAGAGGCCATTTTAAATGTCTGCCAGCAGTAGATGGCTAAGCTGTGGAATAATCACAACAAAATACTATAGCAGTGGGGAGGAAAAGTAACAGGTACATTCAGGAGTGTGGGTTAATCCTACAAAGTTGAGGGGAAAGAAGCTTAAGTCTCAATATGCATACATGATGATTCAGATTAATATAAAGTTCAAAAATAAAACGACATTATGCTGGCTAGGGATCCATGCCTAAGTGGTAAAGCCATAAAGAGAAGCAGGAGGTCATTGTAAAAGGATAGTGGTTACTTCTTAGGGAGAGGAAGGGAGATGTGCTCGGGAGAGACACATCGGGGAGATTCTGTGATTCTCTTCTCTATTTTGACCTGTGTGGTGATTACCTGGTGTTCATTTTATAATTTTTCAAATCATACATACTTCGCATATACATACACCCCTGTAAATATGATGTAGCTCACAGTAAGGAGAAAAATTAAAACTTAAAAAAATGTTAAGTCACCACTACCACTATATCTAATCCCCGGTAAGTGCGTCATACTCTGGAGAGTCAAACTCAACAGTCTGCAGCTTGTTTGTCTCCCTGGCTCGAGGCTTTTCTTCGAGGGGGCAAGAGCATTCACCTTTGCAGAGTTTATGGCCCTCACAGTGCCTTGCCTATTACTTTACCTTTCCTTCCTTTTCCTGTCAACATTTTCTGGGTGCCAACAATGTGTTATGTATTGGCTATACTGGGTTGAACAAGACACGGCAGCCCTTGCTACCAAGACAACTGAACAGGAATTTACAGGTATGAGGTAAGCACAGAAGTTATGAATATAGCGGCGGCACTCGAGGATCTTGGGAGGGCAGAAAAGCTGCCTGAGGAAAATCATCATTTAAAATAAAATTTACCACCAATGGAACATAAGTGCTTTTTTAACAATTGGGTCGTCCTAACAATGATCTTACAAGACGGGTATTGTTATCCCTGTTTCACAGATGATGAAACCTGAAGTTCTGACAAAGAATTAAATTTCCTAAGATCGTATTGCTATGTATGTGGCAAGGCTTGGTTCAGATCCAAGTCTCTGACTCCAAAATCCTCCCACTTGTTGATTTCTACACCCACCAGTCAAAATGGATGGGTGGCTGAAATGGGTGGAAGTAGCGAAGAATGACACTGGAATTGTAAGGGGAGTTCTTTGTCCCAATGTCCAATACTTTGTCCTTTGCACAAACACTTCCCCAAATCCATGGTGGATCTTCCTCAGAAGAAGCAGCTAATTAAACTAGGAGTTGACCCTAGTCACTGTTTCTTTTGCATGTGAGTATTCAGGTTGTAATATTCTTACTTAATCCCGGGGTGCTTGCAGTGGGACTTCAAGTTCCATTTCAGTTCTGCTTCATTCGTGCAAACCCCAAATATACTCTGAAACCTCTCTTGTCCCCACAAGTTGGCTGATATTTTGTTGTCTTTTCTTTATCTGCTCTCCATAGTGTCTCCCTTAACTCTACTGCAGTCAAAGCATCATGGACACTTTGAGAAACACGTCATTAACATCCTAGAGTGTAATTATACCAGATGGTACAGCCCACCTGGGCCACCATCGCCTATGTGGTCAGTCATGGGCCAAAATGTCATTAAGCGACGGGCCTCCTTTGGTGGCGCAGCAGTTGAGCACCGCACTGTGAAGCTATCTGCAGCCTCTGCAGTGCCTGTTTGATCCTGGCCGGCCAGCGAGAATTCCACATGGCAAAGCAGACCTCTCCTGTCTCGCCCGCTGCTCCCTTCAGCAGTGTATTTCATCAGTCTGCCTGTTCTGTTCCCCACTCTGTCTCTGGTGAATCCCCTTACCCTCCCGTGCCTCTGGCCTGTACCCCCGTTCTTGTATAAAAATAAACAATTAAAAAAAATGTCATTAAGTGGAGCATGAATGTAGTTTCTTGCATTTAATGGGCTTAAATGTCCTATTTCTACTAATGAGCCCTGAAACATTTTCCTCCTCCAATTCATTCTTCTGTAACCAATACTATACAACACTCCCCAGTCATATATGGTTTTCTAAATTTATCTTCCTCCTTTTTTTATTGTTTTTTATTTAAATTTATTTATTTGTGCATACAAGAACTGGGATACAGTTCAGAAGTGTGTGGGGTGAGAGGATTTACCAGAGACAGAGTGGGGAACAGAACAGGCGGACGACTGAAATACACTGCTGAGGGGAGCAGTGAGTGTGTCAGGAGAGTTCTGCTGCGCCATGTGGGTAGCTCTCTGGCCAGGGATCGAACTTGTGCTGCAATGGCTGCAGATAGCTTCTTCATTGATTGCGTATTAACCGTTGTGCCACCAGGGAGGCCCAATTTATCTCCCTTCTGAAGGAAAACCAGGTCTCTATTTCCTGCACTCCTATCTAATAGTCATCATAACTTTTCAATTGTATTATTTTTTTTTGATTAAGGCAATGTTGGCTTATAACACTGAAAATAAATTAGGGGAGGGCTTCACAGCGCTTCAGATGTATGTCACCACAACACACTCACCCCAAGGCATACATGATCCTGCACCATTGGGCCCTTTACCTGTTTAGCTCCCTGTCAGCATGCCTTTTTCAACACTGAGAAATTATTAGTACAATTGTTTTTCAAGAATGTGATTACATCCTATTTTTTGGTAATTGATAATCTTTTTTTTTTTTTTTTAAAGTTTTTTTTTTTTTATAGAGGCATGTTTTATTTATTTATTTGTTTGTTTGTTTGTTTGTTTTGTTTATACATGCACTGGGTACAGTCAGAAGCGCGGGAGGGTGAGAGAATTCACCAGAGCCAGAGCGGGGAGCAGAGCAGGCAGAAGGACCGAAGTACACTGCTGAGGGGAGCAGCGGGCGGCAGGAGAGGTCTGCGCGCCATGTGGGACCCTCCTCCAGTGGCCAGGAGCAGCCGGGGATCGAACCGGCGCCGCAGAGGCCGCGGGCAGCTTCGCAACCCAGCGCTCAACCGCTGCGCCACCGGGGAGGCCCGGTAATTGATAATCTTATCAATCATTGTCACACTAGTGTTGCATGATATACATAATTTGGTTTGACCATTATCCCGAATTTCTTTTAGACTGACAAAAATACATTCATTCATTCTAATAGCCTTTTGGTCCATTGTAAAGTATGAACTAATGGTTCTTTCAACACATTCAACTGGTTGTAATTCACTGTGATGTTCAGCTTTTCCCATGTTGGCCATGTATATCCCGCCAATAGCCCAGGTCTCCACATAACCAGCTAAATAGTAGGCTTTGTAAGGACAAGATCATTAACCAGCCTTTGGCTCTAGAAAGGCAGGCAAGGGAAAAATGTTGAATAAAAGCCTGTATCCTCATTTCCACATTTCCTCACAGATGAGAGGTATGGTGGGGGGAGAAATACTCTGTTGGAGCCCATTTTCTGATTTTCAGTCTGGGCTTTCTGGAAGCATAAAGGGGTCTCTCATAAAAAAACCAGGCAAATTGTTTCAGAAGTAAAGGCTTGAGCATAAACACCTGAAGGCATGACACTTGCTACTTTCTGATGACTGGGAGGCAGGGGGATCTTGTGAATCAGCCGAAGGTGTTTTGGAGAAAGCGGGGGCCCAGGCTGCTAGAGTGAGCCATTTGCCAGAGTGTTAGCTCAAACATTTCCCCTTTCTATTTTCATCCAAAACCTTCCCCCTCATTTTGCTTTGTGGTTTAAACATGGGGATTGATTTATTTAATTAAATAAAAGGAGGCCTCACATTGCCAGCCAGAATCAGGTGCTGTTATGTTTGCCTCTATGCGGCCCAAGGACATAAGATTTAAAGACAAAATCAAATAATGAGGTGTGTAGATGGAAAAGCGGTCTTTGACTTTGGTCACTGGGAAATCTATGAAGCTACCTAGGATACTCAGTAGGCCCAACAAGCAAAATATTGAGAATAAAATTCATTTTTTTTAAGTAAAAGAGTGTGTGTGTGTGTGTGTGTGGTGGCATGGAGTTGATTTTTATGGAGCAGAATAGAGCCCAGCTGAATCAGCTGGGCCCAAAACCACCTGTCTACTCTTAAAATTTCTCCTTTTGGGCCTCCCAGGTGGCACAGCAGTTTGAGCGCAGCACTGTGAAGCTGTCCACAGCCTCTGCAGTGCCGGTTTGATTCCTGGCCTGCCAGGGAGATTCCCACATGGCGAGGCAGATACTCTCCTGTCTTGCCCGCTGCTCCCCTCAGCAGTGCTTTTGGTCTGTCTGCCTGTTCTGCTTCCCACTCTATCTCTGGTGAATCCTCTCACCCTCCCCCGACTCTGGCCTGTACCCAGATCTTGAATAAATAAAAAATAAATCTTTTTTGTTTTAAAGATTTATTTTTATTTATACAAGCACTGGGTACAGTCAGAAGCACGGGAGTGTGAGAGAATTCACCAGAGCCAGAGCAGGCAGAAGGACCGAAGTACACTGCTGAGGGGAGCAGTGGGCGGCAGGAGAGGTCTGCGCGCCATGTGGGACCCTCTTCTGGGGCCGGGGAGCCGCCGGGGATCGAACCGGCGCTGCAGAGGCTGTGGGCAGCTTCACAACCCAGCGCTCAACCGCTGCGCCACCGGGGAGGCCCAAAAAATAAATCTTTAAAAAAAAAATTTCTCCTTT